ACAGGGTGTGCGTGTGTGCGCGCGCGTGTGTGTGAATCAAAAGATAAGTGCATGTTAGCAAACATATAAATCTAGAGGGAAAAGATATGAACAAAGTAATAACAAACGCACCTCTGGTTTGATGACAGCCATCTCGCTTTCTGCCATTTAATGATCTTCGTAAATAGGTGACCACAATAAATGGATATGAAATTTACAAAAGAAAGACTGCCGCACAAACAATCAAAATTGTGAACTGAACAAATATCTTGCCCAAGACAAAGTTGTGCAAATCGTAAGCTGAAGGTTTATAAACTTGAAACCAATTAGCAGATTGACAACCCAGGAGGCATTTATTTCCTCTTCACTTCCTCGTATAGAGTCTATAGAAATCAACCAACCACTTGTAGGCATGTACACCGTATTTCACTTTCAGATCAATCACGTGGACTGCAGAAATTGAATCTATCCTCCCTAAAAATAACAAGAAAATGACATGATTTAGGCAATACATTCATTCAAAATCAGCTATGCAATCACAAAGAACAATGACAGTACAAAAAAGCAATCAAAATGAAAAAGACTTATCCAAGTCAATGTTGAAAATAATGATCGTGCGTAATGCATCGTTCGGTTTCTCGAAAACTTAAACTGCATTTTGTGTGATACTTATGGCTTATCGTAGCCTAGTTTTTTTTAATTTAAACAAATATAAAAATATTCATAATAATTTTCATACTTAAGACCATGATTCCAAAATATAAAATTATTTTTTTTAAATCTAAAATTGTTACAAGTTATACTAACTTACGAACAAATGCCACAATAAATTGTTGAAATATAGCCTCAAAAATTTACATATCTAATTTATAACTTCACATTCACCATTCATAAATATCATACACAAGCATAGTGATGTCGTTTGTATCAATCACAACAATGAAAGACGCCATCAAGGCTTAACAAACAATCCAAAAGCAAATATTTAACTACTTTGAATCTTAAGCATAACAAACACAGAAAAATACTCTCAAATCTCTAATATAATTATATTAAAACAGAGTACTTTATGTTGAATTAGTGTATTATATTGAATTAGTGCATGCTACATGGTAATAGTGTAGAGTTACATTGTGTAACATTTAAAGTTCGGTACTTTACATCTCATGAAATTACGATTTATACTTAAACTTGTTATTTAACACTAGTTCAAACTTCAAACAACCAATAGAGATAACTGAAGAACAGCTTGGTAATCATCTAATCATAAAATGTGCAATAAACAATAGAAAAAACAATTTAATCAAACTTGGAGCAATTATACAGAAAAAATATCAATCAGAATCGAGATTAGATGCCCATTTCCCCAAATACCTGCATCCAAATCAATCACAGGAGCGCAAGAGATCAAACAAGCGACAACTGAATCAAAAAAAACTTGGCGATTGGATTACCTGATACTAGAATAAATGGGATTAAAACACGAATTAGGGCGAAAAATGAAGGAGAGAGGTTTTGAAATGCTAGGGTTTTGGCGGTTGGTTGGTAAATGGATAAAGGAATTGAGAGATGAGATAGAGGAAATATACGGATTGATTCAGGGGATGGAGACAAAAGAGGGAGATTGATGGATTTCTAGGGTTTTTATGGGTCCAAAGTCCCCCATTTCGTTTTTCGCTTTTTGTTTTTTTTTAACTTTTCTTGATTTGGGTTGCGGATCTCCGGTTGGGTGTGGGTTAGTGTTGGAATTATGGAAAGTCCGAATCCGATGAATTATGTATGGGCCGGAATTGGACATTGTTTTCGGCCTTAGTATTCAGGCTGGCCCACCTCTACCTTGTCAATAGTCTTCCATCTTTTGCTGAGGGGTAAAAGTAGAAAAGTGATCTTTTGGAGTTTATGAAGCTTTTATCTTGCGTTTTCAGAGTGGTTGTTTTAGTGAGTAGAATGCTTTTTATGAGTGTATGTGTTATAGCCTAAAAATAACTTAGTGTTAATCTCCCTTGGGAAAATAATACTTGTTCCGCACCACGTCTAATCAGGATTATGTACAACTCGGACGACTTGAGCTGCCCATGCGACCAACTCTATTGGCCGACAACCTGCGTAGCCGAGTAAAAATATGGTACTTGTCATCCAACAGAACCATCACCTCTGCAATACCGCACACTCGGCCTACTATTTCAGCCGACAAACTGCGTAGCCGAGTAAAAAGGCGGTGTTAGTCGGCCCTCCACCAAACGACTAAAGAGGCTGTAGTTTCCTCGAACCCTGCGCCGACAACTGTCTGCCCTTGCATTAACTGCTCTGACAAAGTCATTATTGCTCTAGTCCCCAAAGTCTTTATGACTTATTAGGCTCCGTCAGCATCAAGCAGCTGCTGTCACTTGGCACCTGGATGACCCATCTTCTCTAACAGCCGACACCTATCAGCCGTCTACCTAGCCAGCTGCCTGTCTAGACTCGGCTCAAGTTACCTATCTTCCTTTCTGGTCCTCTATAAAAGGAAGTCATGCAACTCAAGATAACTCTCTGGTCTTTGGACATAGCTTTGAAACATTCTTCACCCTCTCAAATTTTCTCACTCAAGTTCGAATACTGACTTGATCGTCGAAGTGGTAACTGTAGAACCCAACTCCGGACTCTTACGTGTTTTTCGTGTGCAGGAAGAATAGCTATCTACAGAGCCAGTCATCTGAAGGAGTTTGAGGACTCTAACTCTACTTTAATCCCCAAATAAACCCATTGTTAGATAACTAACATCAACAATGTGCATGACATGAAATTTACTTATGCTTAACAAAATATATTGAATATAGAAAATAATAATAAACTAGTGGTACTACATTCCACAATGTTGGTTGTTGATTTTTTTTCGTGAATGTTCATATATGGGATTTATGAATCAACAATGTTCAAGCAATAACTCCCTACTTTTCAATTTCGGACTCAAATTTCAAATGTGATTTGGCAGCACGCATGATACGATTTTACTTGTGGTTAACAAAGTATAGAAAAAAGGAAATATATTAAACTAGTGGAATTTGAAGACTCGGATAGTTAATCTGTACCAATTTTAGAGATATCCATGTCCACTTCCTTCCTACGGTCTATCTAGAAAGTACACAATGGTGCTCTCGAATAATTTTAAGGATAGTAACATGTAATAAGGCCTACGTTAGGTATGATCCCATGTAAAAACCTAAAAAAGTATGAGAGAGAGAGTTGAATACCTTTTCGAGTTTCCCCATTCTACACTATCTTTACTTATTTCTACAGCACTTGTATACCATAAATTTTATTAAACTTGTACTTCTATACTTATTTTTATAGCCCAGTCTGAAATCGAATCCAAGTCTGTGGAAGTCATATTGGAACCTTCCACCATCCAAGTTACTCGTAATGGGTTGTACTTTGGTACTTCTTATATGCAAACTTGAGAATATTTTTCTGGATATTCTCATGTAATACCCACGTGCTAACTTTAGAACTTTTTGACCTTTAATACTTGTTGAATGAGGAGCTAAATACTAATTTTAGAACTTTTTAATTCCATTGGATTGAGTTTAAAATAGAATTTGGTTAGACTTAACGGTAAGTAAACAAGAGCAAAGGGTCCAAAACTTATAAAACTAGCATGTGTGTCATATGAAAATATTGAGGAAAATATATGCGTTTGCATAATATAAAGCACTATAGTTTTGGAACTTTACATTACATGAGTGTTGTCAAAAACAAGTGAGGGTATGTTAGTGCAATATAGATTATTATAGGGGAAATTAAATAAGTGCTAAAAAATTATCCTATTTTGAAGAAGTTCTTAGGTGCTCTAAGTGCCTACACCCCTCCAATAGGAGGGGGCATGCGGCATTAGAGGGGGA